GAAAATAACGATATTACAGTTCCACAATTGAAACTAACACAATTTGTTTATGATCCTCGTTGTTTAGACAACTGACATGGATCGTTTTTTATAGTTAAGCAGCCTCCGGATTAGCTATGCTCACTAACTTCTTTAAATAATTACGTTAAATTCGCATTTATTTTTTTCATTTTTCGAATATTGAAACTGTGAGATACATTAGTAAACTTATTTGTAGTGATATTCCTGTGCGGTGCTCCTCTTGTGCTGCTCCCCGTCCGCGACTTTACATCACCACGCTGCCGGCCGTCATCGCTCCCCAGGGCCGAATTTTAGTGCTAAGAGGATCTTGCTAACTGCAGGATGAAGGGAGCCTGCGCGACAATTCCACAGAAATACGCGACGATTGTGAATTGGCACTTAGGAAAGCTGATTATCCTCCTACAGTAAGATGATATGAATCATTCTGGAATGGATTAAGAATATGTAAAAATCGGTTTCTACAGTACACTTCGAAAGAACTTAATTGATTGCTTGTAGAGAGAAATGAAAATAAATAATTTAGAAATTGACGTGTTTTCTACACTAGAATATTCAATAAAATTGACGTTTAGAATAGTTTTTACGCTATTCCTTTTGTTATCTGCGTACCAATGGCAGATAATGTTTACAGGGAATCAACTGGATAATTCAAGCAAATATGAAGTTAAAAAAGTATAAAAACGAGGTTATGTTGGCTTAAAGGAAAAAAGTGCTAAATTTGAGTTGATTCAATTATTCTCGATTAATCGTCTGAAATGAAAACGTGTTATTGTTGTTTAACTCTATTCAGATATTATATCGAAGTGTAATCTAAAATCATAACTTCCAACCGAATACCGCAACGTGGTGTATTGTCTGAAAGTGCGCAACCTGTGTTTAAACTGGCTGCAGCGGAGCGCTAACAATGGGCGATCGCACGGAGCTCCGCGTGAGCTGCTGTTGCAGGCGAGCTGCACTGCAGGCGGATGCGGACGTCGGGGTGCAGACGCTGCACCGCGTAATCACCACTCGGATTAGAGCTCAGCGCCTCCCCCTCCGCCCCCCACCCCCGGCCCAAGCTCCCAGCGCGTGGCCTGCGGGGACGGGCCCTTGCCGGAAGACGCTTCGCTGCAGTGGCGGAGGACACGCCCCTCTCCTCTCCAACCTCCTCACTCACTCCGCTCTCCTCTCTGCTCTCTACTCTCTCATTTATCCTCTAGCCTCTCTGCTCTCTCTCTCTCTCTCTCTCTCTCTCTCTCTCTCTGCCTCTCACGTCTCTGCTCTCTGTCTCTCGTCTGTCCTCACTGCCCCTCCTCTCTGCCACTCTTCTCTCCTTACTGCTCCTCTCCTCTCTTCCCCTAGTCCACTCTGCCTCCCTCCTGTCTGCCTCTCTTCTCTCCTCACTGCCCCTCTCCTCTCCTCACTCTCTTCTCTCTCCCTCTCCTCGCTCTTCGTGTTGCGAAAAGGACTGGAACGCACCCTCGGTTCGCACCGCCGCGCTGACTTCATGTGGACTTGGAGGAGCGGGTTCCCCTGCCTCTCATTGCTCCGTCACTTTCACAGCACCACAACCATTCACTCACTTCCAGGTGCAGTCATAAGTAGGGGGCGGATTTTAATGAACGTCATTTTTTTCTTTTAACTGTAGAACAATGCCCATTAGAATAGACATTAATTTGGTGTAACAAAAAAACGAAATGATCCCATTTTTAATTTTTTTTCATTTTTCGTTGATTTTCACTAATAAATAATTTTTTATCTTTCCGTCATTTTTAAAACATTTTTAACTGATTTCATCTATTTTAATATCATTTTAATGATATTTGCTTGAAATAATATTTACAAGTTACAACAAATATTCTCCACAAAATTCCTGAGTAGCCGATTTCTTCGCTCAGAAATTGTAATATCAGCTGTTGTGAGTATGTGATCTAAGGTAAGTTATGTGATCTAAGACACCTGTCAGCACCAATGCCGGTTCGGCCAATTTCGGGGTAACTAAAGGCAGAAATAAAGAACAGTCCAATCCAAAACTTTGTGAGCTGAGTTCACATAACCGAATGGAAGAAGCCTCAATTACATCAGTAACATATCCAATAGCTTGAGATGTTCATCCGAGCCTGTTTGATAACATTTTTACGTTATTTTTCTTTGCTTTTAGGGCATTTAAAAAATAAGAGCATTTTATTGATCATTTTTGGCGATGTTTTACGTCATCAAAATCTGCCCCTACTTATAAGGCTGAGGCTCGGGCACCGTAATAAACAAGTATGTCTCTCCTCTTAAAAGTGCTGCTCCCACAACTTTCATTATCCGGTCACAGCGCTTCGCACTCTCAGAAAATTGAAACGACGTAATATAGCACAATGTCAAACAATTGCGCACATCATGTTTAATTAGTCAGTGATGCTTTATTTGTACGGTGCGAGGCTCAGGCCGGTATATCTGCTCTTCTGCCTGAACACGCAAATTTCGGTTCGCTCCTTTCGCCACGTAAAGAGAAAGATGGAATCACTCGGGCAATGAAATAGGCGACTTGAATGTTGCTCAAAGGATTCTTTGAGGCTCCAGGATATTTTACAAGCAGTAAATCTGCGAGGGACAGCCGAATTTACTTCCCCTCCGAAATAAGGCGCACGAAGGAATTTTTCGCCCTTAAAATCCCGCGAACAACAATTCGATGCTCTCCGATGTAGCAAATATTCGCTTGTTGATTTTTAAAATTCTGTTAAATATTTCGTTACAACCTATTTCTAGAACTTTTGTAGTTTAGGGGAAAATGAGTGAAGTCGAATGAACAAGTTGCTGGTTGAAAGGTTTCTCGATGGTTATTACTGGCTGAGGCATAGGCTGACAGCAATGGTCAAACCTGCTCTGGAAACGGATGATAAGTAATGGCGAGGCGATGACCAGGCGCCGAAGTGGCGCGCGGAGCTTCCGAGTGAAGGCTCGTTCATCCGCTTAGGGAGGGCTCGGGCTTCTGCACGCGGAGGAATTAATATTTGCGGCGCTCTTGCTCCGTCAACTGCCTTCAGAGAGCGGCTGTTCGTGACGTTCTGCTTCCTGGAGATCGATGGCGATATTCAGCCGAGTGACTCTCGACGCCAACGCAGATGGCTCTCGTCGCAACCATTTCCTGCCTTCTCGCGCCTCGATTTCCCGCTGCCCATCGCCCATAGAAGTATGGAAGCCCGAGGCCCTTGCGAAGAACTTTGGGCATTTCAACACGCCGAGATGACGTCATTGGCGAGTCCGCGAACATTCATCGGGTGGGCACGGCCCTCCCGCCGTTTCGGGTGAAAGGTTATATGAAGCGTGTGGAGCGAACATGGATGTGTCCAATTTTATTATGTTAATCCAGAATTATCCCCAGTTGTTCAGCATGATATTGAGTTTTATTTAATGTACTACCAAACACACGGAAGTGTCATTTATCTTGTTAGCTAAACTATCTGCATCAAGGAGTAATAATTGCCACATTTAAAATACTAGATATTTATAAAAGAGTTCAATATTAGGGATTGATTGGTTTGATGTTTCCAGGTGCATCAACTGTTATGGTCACTAGTCCCGAAAGTGTAGTGGAGGCTTTATTGCGGGAGGTGGCGGTGTTCCTCTCCTGCTGGAGGGTGGAGCAGGACCTACAAATCGACTTACGAGGGAGTTTCCCCGTCAGGTATTCCCCTTATCCGCGTCATGCTGTATGCTCCCAAGTGGTCCGCCGAAATGTGTGGTAGCGTAGTGCTTGCAAGTGTGCTTGTGAGGGGCCGGACAGATCACGCGCGCTCCGGGGCTCCGGAGCGTAATTTCTGTTCTGAGCTGTCCCGAAACATAATCGCATTTCATTCTAAAACTAGAAACAGGCAGAGACCCTACCAAGGTAGACCATTCAGAAATGAAAATAAAATTACAAACATTTTTGAAAACATAATCAACAATATTACTGCAAGTTTCAAGTTTTTCTGAACTGCCAAGAGAACAGATATAAATCAGTGGACAACGGAACTAAAAGGGCTTACAAAACACTGTAAATTCAATTGAGGTAATTCTCATTCTGATTCAATGATCAGAGATTTGATCATTCAACTTACTAATGAAAATCAAATATATGAATACGGCACCTATTGAAGATAAAGTTTTAGTGATTAATTTTAGTGAATAAAGTGTCTCTGGAGTGCAATATTGAGAACTTAATATAGTGTGGTATATTTGTCCTTGCTGTTTACTGCTTATGTAGTGATTGCATTCCAAATGTATTAGTTGCATTTGTTTTAAAACTGAAATTTGTTTGTGTGGTATTTTTTGTTGCAAAGGAAAATGCTATGCGTCTCGTACTTATGTAAGCACTCTTTAAATGAGATCCTCTTTAGTCTGCTGTCGAGTATCAAATAAGAAAGAGGACTAAGAGAACCTTCCGGGAAAATGTATTCAAAATAAGTTATTTGATTTAGGTTATCACTGAGGACACACCTCGTTAGAGTATGTTATTGGCTTTTTCCATCTCCCGGAGAAAGTTCTCTTATTTCGAATGTAATATCTGTAAAGTCACGTAAATGTCTATTCGGAATGCGTATAAAAGCATAAAATTCAATTTCTGAGAATATAGAACATTTTAAAATTCACTAATCATATGCGCTTAGGAGCACACAAAATTTCAAATACGAATATGCAGATTGAGTTAACAGTGAAAAGAAACTAGCTGATTGTAACACCCCATTCTGTGAACACGTGTTTCGCATTTGATTGTTATCTAACATGTCGAGTAAAATTATAAAAAATTGAAAATATCCATTAACATTACTAGATGCGTGCAGTTAAATTTGCATTCGGGAGGTGTTACTGCACTATAGAGGCATTTAAATACTATGCTACTGATCATTTATATCCAAATCTACTGCACTCTGAATATCAAAGTTATTAACCCTGTTAATTAAAACAACTGGCCGTATGTAACTGTGTATTTTGTTGGTCGCACTGATTACTGGGTACATATAATACTATTGAATCTACTAAGAGAGATCATAAGAGTTTTTATTCATTTGCGTCAATTCAAAGCGTTTGTGAAGACACAAAAAAATTGGAAAATAGATAGAGCGTATTTTATAGGATTAGCTTTCAAAAATTGAAATGACATCCAGTAAATGCTAAGTTTAATTATTTATTGGAGGCTTTCCATTTGATTAAATCTGCATTTTTTGAAGATTGGTACTACCTACATAAAGCCGACATCAAACGATTTTTTACATTGGTTTTCGGAATCCGAATATTCTGTTTAATCAAAGCTGCGTGAAAACTCACAAATTTGTGGATTAAAAACGTCCATACCTTTCGCTTTGTTTGTAATTGATATTTGTCGCCTGCTTCGTTACGTCCGCACGCTTCGCTCCGTTTCGTCCGGCAGCTGCAGCGAAGCGAACTCTCTGGCGAATGGCGGTGGAAGAGGAGGCGACAGCGCGGGCGGTGGCGGGAAGGGGGGGAGCTGGCTGTTGTTCCTCTCCACGTACACGTCGCGATCTGGCGGTGGCGGCCTTCCTTTTTATTATTATTATTATTATTATTATTATTATTATTATTATTATTATTATTATTATTATTTTTCCTCTACACCACGACACGGAAATACACCTGCACTGCACTTACCGAGGCTCGGTAACATGTATCCCGTGAAAAGTGTGTGACTCCTTGGTGGGATCAGCATGCTGAATCCAATTTTTGTTCCCCCAGGATGGGTTGTCCTGGGAGAATGGGATATGGAATGATGATAATGAAATACGTACACAAACACACCTATGCCCAAAGTGGGACTCGAACCCGCGATCCTTCCTGCTGAGACCGCCACGGCACTACTTATCGATCTCGGCTACCGGTATTATTATTATTATTATTATTATTATTATTATTATTATTATTATTATTATTATTATTATTATTATTATTATTTCCTCTACATCACGACTAAAAGTGTTATAAGTCGGCTGAATATAACATCTATCAGGTTTCAACCAGCTTCCTAAGGAGCAGATCTAGGGACTGTCAGTGCCTCTACAATACTTTGCAGAAAATGTGGACTGTTCCAAACGATGCAACGCCTTGCTCGTCCTAGTCTTTTGAATGACCTGGGAGTTTAGCCAAGTTCTTTCACAAATTTTGCGGAACAAATCCCAGAGCTTCAATGGATATAGATACGACCTTTGCTTTTACGCCCCACATTTGACTGATCTTGATTTCCAAACTCTTGTATTTACGACATTTCTCTGCGTCCTTGGATTATTATTATTATTATTATTATTATTATTACTTATATTATTGTTATTTATATTATTTTCCGGCAAGAGCGAAAGCTTAGGGGCTGAGTCCAGTCTCGTATCTGGACAGGACACCTGCACATAGCGGCGGAAAGCATTCGGTGCTTCCCGACGCGACAATGGAACGCGCTCCACAGCCAAAGGCGAATGGGTTTCTTTAGATTTGTTTTAAATGTGATCATCCCTACCGAACCAGTAAGAGCGTTTACCCTCGTAAATATTCGGATTCTTCAGCCTCCCGAAGTCTGAAGATGTCAGATTTCTTCATGATTCCAATGACCTTCCTAATGCTACATTTCTAGGTTTTTAATCATTTTACATTCAGATTTCTGTTCATATTACATTAATAATAAGCATTATTATTCATATTAATACATTATTAATGTACAATAACTTCCATTAGTTTATTTTCACACTTAAGAACGTAAATGATTAAGAAGTATGTATACAATTTGGACCCACACATTTTACTTTCAGGATGAATTACTGCCAAGCGTATTCCCGGATTTAAAGCATCCCTCCCAGTTATTCCATCTCAGTCGCATTTGCATATTTTTCAGTGTTAATTCAATATACGAGATTAGACACAGTATTATTCGAAGGGATCATGTTACTCGTATTTTTCATTACATAGACTGGACATTACTAACCTTAAGATTGTAAGAATACTAGAACAAGATGTTATTAGTCACTTCTTCAAGAATTACCTGATGTGCAGTGATCAGCATATCTTTCAAGGGATCTCGTGGCAAGTAACGATTTTTGTATGTTGCATTTGTTGTGACAGTCTGTTTTCCGAGTGTTCACCGTAGAGACATTTGGCTACCATTCACATTACAATCACCGTTTTCATCACAGAATTCATTCATTTACACCATCGATATGTTTGAATGGACGTGGAATTTTTCAGTAAATAAAAGGATTTATTCCCGGAAATATCCGTAGTCTCACATAATGAATTCTCTCGAAATACCGTCAGCAATGGCCCGAAATAGATTAACTCTTTTTCTTATTACCAGATGATGTAATTACGTTATTGCTTGCATTATTCGTTAATCGGATGAGATCATAATGACCGCAATACATTATGTTAAATCCCTTCCTTGTTTTGAATCAGTTTCATGTGCAGTGCTCTGTCGACCACTAGCACTGTGGCTGCAACTGCATTGAAGCAAGAGTTGCGAGTTCGGTTCCACACGTGTTTTTACATGCAAATGTAAGTTTCCACATTCTTTATTACTTTCTCTCCCTAATTTCGTAAGAAGAAAAGTATTGTAATCGTGCGCTGGAAAACAGCAAATTTTCGACAAAAATACTTTTATGGCTGGGACCTAGTAAACAAAAGCGGATACATTTTCATCCTATACTAAATTAATTTCTCTAACACGTTGTGAAGTCAGAATATATGATTTGTGGGTCCTTGATATCGAAAAATTGATTAGCTGTTAAACATTTGTCTGCCCGTCCGCCTGTCTATGGTGAACGGTAGCGCCTAAATCATTCAGCGGATTTTTTCCAAAATTAGTTTACTTCGGTCGATTTAAAGGAACACGAGCTCTGCGAGTTTGAAAAATATTTTGATCTTGAGGGTTCTTTACACGGAGCCTGAATGACATTTTCGAAAATTTCTCAAAAATGGCTCTATATTTTTTGATTAAACAGAACGAAATTTGTCCTCAGGTGGTGTGAAAATCGCTAAAAGGAAGGCGCAGGTCTCATGTTCGTTAAAATTTCTGTGTGTGTTTTTTTTTGTTTTTTTTTGTTTTTAGATTTGCAAAAGTTGAAACTTTTTTCAGCGTCTTTCTAGAATATTTGAGAAAGATAATTTTTCTTAATAAAATATGTTATTGAAAGTCAGATCTTGAAATAATGTCATGTAAAATTATTAAAAAATATGAATAATTTTCGTGTAATTTGGGCAGTTTTTCAGTATTTATTTTCTCAAAAACGTCTCCAAAGGTTTCAAAAGAAGTTTTTTTTCGATCAATAATGTGGCTGTTAGTTAATTTATCGTCATAATTCATAAGCGAAGACAAACAGTTTGTAGAACGATCATTGAGTAGTGAGTCAAAACAATTCCCATTAGCAAATTGAGGTGCATTTCTTTCCGTTGCGGCGCGAAATGTTAGCCGCGCCCCCCGGCGCCGCACAGACAGTGAGCAAGTTCTCGGCGGCGGCTCATAAGTAATTCTGCGGCAGGAGAATTCCCTCCCCCTCCCCCGGCTGTCGGCCACCCGCCTCCGCGGAGCGCGCAGAGAATTGTTGCGTCAGAGCCATCGAGGCAGGAGTTAATTATCTCTGCGCCAGGGGCCGCTGGCGTCGCGTCCCCCCCCCCCCGGCGCCGCCCGCTGCGCCTCGCTTGTTTGATTTCCGGGCCCACTGCGCCCCGCCCCCACCGCCCCGCCCTCGCCGCCCCCCTCCCCTGCGGTCACGCCGGCGAATCGTTAACGACGCCCAGAACAAATACTATTACTCCGAGAGAAATAATTCAATGATGAAACTTACATAATAACAAGCCCCTAACAGATTCCATAAATATACATCACAATACATTCATAGAATTTTGCTTGTGATTATACCAGTTAGCGGAATACATTGTATAACCTATTTCCATGTTAAACAATTGGCGTTGGAAGAAGAGCGCGCGTGCGTCTATTAACGCGGTGGGGGAGGAGGGCGAGGCGGGGCGGCGGGCGGGGCGGGGCGGAAGCGGCGTGGGGGGGCGGGCGGGCGCGGCGGGGAGGGCCCATCGCTGCCGCTCGGTCGCGCGAGAAGATTGCGGTGCGCTCCCCCTCCCCCTCCCCCGCGCCGCTCCCCGCAGTCAAGGCGTCTTCGCGGGACTTGGATTGGCGCGAGTTAAACGAGCCCTTAGTTACGTCCCCGGGGCGTCTCCTTTCAGGGGTGGGGGCGCCGCCGCCTCCTGCGCTCAGCGCCCTTCACCCGGCCGGGCTCGAACCCTGGCGCTTCCACGTCGCTCGCGTGCTTGCTCTTTTAGTTAGCACCTCGCGCACGCTTCAGCAATTACACGTCATGAGAAACATATGTTCTAACATTAATGCCAAAGGCTGTTGCTACTAAAATACAGATTAATAGAACGTCAGAAATGTAAATATTTATAAAAAGAATTGTACCCACCTAGTAATTAATCCATGATAAAGAAGTGATGAAAATGCAAACGAATAAAGAAAGTTGAGTTAAAAACGAAAACTAAAAAAACCTACAAATCAACTTTTTTACATTTTA